GTTTTTTTTTGTTATGTTATAATATAATATATAAAATATAGGTAGATATCTACAACTTTAATAAAAAATATTATCTGATTTTTTGGAAAAGAGAAAGTGGATGCAAGTTTTAATATTTTTTTTTGAAAATTTGTGAGAGAGATTAGGAGGGAAAGATTATGAAATATTTTTGTTATTAAATAAATAAATCAGTCAATAGTTTTGTTTTAATCTATTTTGTAAATCATTGTTTCGATCCCATCAACATACATTGAACAAAAAGTAATGCACTCTTTGACAATGTAAGCCTCTGCGATTGAACCTTCTGGTCGAGCTCGGTTTGTAACAAACTTTTTTAAAGCTCCGAGAAACCTTGAAAAGAGAATTAGTTAAGAGCAAGGTTACACATGCAACATATAATTACGAACCTTTGAATTTAACAATTACTTTTCAATTCGGTACCTCCATCGATATTGCACCGATCCTCCAAGAATAGCCTCGCGCGGCAAGTGAACAGCTAAGTGAACCATCACATCAAAGAAGGCTGGAGGAAAGATCTTTTCAAGCTTGCATAATATGCGTACTATAGGTTCCTCTAATTTCTCAAGTTCATTACGGCGCAATGTCCTTGAGCACAAATCCTGGAAAAAGCTACCTAACTCAAATAGTGTTTTACTAATCTCTTTGTTTACGTCGCCACGCATCTCAATTGGAAGAATCTGTTGTATGAGCACATGGTAGTCATGACTTTTCAAGCCTCCTAATTTACCATTTCTCTCATTCACTAATCTTGATATGTTTGCAGCATAATCATCTGGAGACTTCACTGATTTCAAGAGTTCAAAGAAACCCACCCTTTCTTCAGGGGTCAATGAAAAAATTTCCCTAGGCTTGACAAAAGTTCCATCAGGACGACGTGTTAACCACAACTCTTTCCTTATACCCATATCTTCCAAGTCCATTCGTGCTTTGTTGGTGTCCTTGTTCTTCTCATCAATGCCTAACATAGTTCCAAAGGTATTTTCACTAAAATTCTTCTCGACGTGCATGACATCAATGTTGTGTCGAAGCTTCCGTTTCTTCCAGTATGGTAACTCAGACAGGATGCTTACCTTTGTCCAATTTGGTGCCTGACAGAGTCTTTTCTTGTTTCTTAGATGCTTCCCATATGTGACACTTGTCACTCTGTCCAATTGCTCTAATATCTTTTCCACTGGTAACTCTAAAGATTTCTTTCGCTTCTCATGCTTACCATTGTAAGCCTTACTCTTTCGCCTTTCGTGGTGGTTCTGAGGCAAATAGCATCGATGGTTAGTGTATGCAGTCTTACCTTTCAAGGATTGAAAATATGGTTCATCATTGCATGTGTAGCAAGAATAATGACCCTTTGTTCTCCACTCAGATATGTCACCAAATGCAGGCCAATCATGTATAGTCCACATCAAAGCTGCACGCATCTGGAAAGACTCACCAGTTAAGGCATCATAAGATAATGCACCATTTTTCCAGAACTCATTCAACTCATCCACCAGACGTCTCATGTAGACATCAATATCGATCCTTGGTTGTGATTCTCTAGGAATAAGTAATGACAGCATAAGAAATGGATCTTTCATGACCAATGAAGGTGGCAACTTATAAGGAATAAGTACTACAGGCCACAGACTATATGAGTTGCTCATGTTCCCGAAAGGATTGAACCCATCAACAGCCAACTCTAGCCTCACATTTCGAGGCTCCATGGAAAACTGAGGATGTTGCATATGAAATTCCTTTCACTCATCACTATTGATGGGATGCCTCAATACTCCGTCATCTACAAGTTCGTCCTTGTGCCATCTCATGTCCTCAACAGTCTTCCTTGACATGTACAATCTTTTCAACCTTGGTGTCAATGGGAAGTACCGCAACACCTTGTGGGGAATCTTCTTATCCCTATCATGATTAATCTTGTATTTGGATGCCTTACATTTTGGACATTTATCCAACCTTGCATTTTCGTTCCAAAAGAGTACATAATCATTTATACAAGAATCAATTAACTCATATGACAAGCTTAAATCACGAAGTATTTTCTTAGGTTCATAAAATGACTTTGGAACCAAATTATCTTTCGGTAAAAGTTTTGTTAAAAACTCCAACAGTGTATCAACCGATTTATTGCTCCAATGGTTTATTACCTTCATATTAAGTAGCTCGATGACAACTTTTCAACCTTGGTGTCAATGGGAAGTACCGCAACACCTTGTGGGGAATCTTCTTATCCCTATCATGATTAATCTTGTATTTGGATGCCTTACATTTTGGACATTTATCCAACCTTGCATTTTCGTTCCAAAAGAGTACATAATCATTTATACAAGAATCAATTAACTCATATGACAAGCTTAAATCACGAAGTATTTTCTTAGCTTCATAAAATGACTTTGGAACCAAATTATCTTTCGGTAAAAGTTTTGTTAAAAACTCCAACAGTGTGTCAACCGATTTATTGCTCCAATGGTTTATTACCTTCATATTAAGTAACTCGATGACAAACTTCAATAGAGTGTAATTTGTGAAACCTAAGTACACCTCACGTTTGGCATTATTTAATAGTTTATCAAACGTCTGTACTTCCTCATTCTAGGGTGCATCGTTGGGTTCTCCTCTTTTTCGATCTTCCACTAAGGCATCAATACCACCTAAAACCTCATCTTCATCAATTGCCATTTCATGGTGAGCCTCATTTGATACACGTGGTTCCCCGTGCTCGTGCAAAATAGTGTACGTTTGCATAATTCCATATTGAAGCAAATGAATTTGCATATTTCGAGGATTTTGGGAATAATAGTTCACACAGTTCAAACGTGGGCACAAAATTTTACCTTCCTGGTCAATAACTACCATTGCAAATTTAATAAATGATGTCACCCCATCAATAAATGGTTGATTCATCCTTCCATCAGGCGTCTTACCCAATGCAATCCAACTCTTGTCCATGTCTGATCACAAATGAAAGATCAAATTTTTTTAATTTGTTTATGTCATAGAAAGCATCATATATACTATTAACTTATTCCATTTAGGAATGCACAATGGGTATTATACAAAGAAAATCATATGACTTCGTCTATCTCTAATTAAAATCCATGAGCATCTTTTCTTAGTTCTCCAAGTATATAACATAGATTGAGATGGAACATATTTAAGCAGTAAAGTTGCAAAGTACAATGTAGACTAATGTATTTTCAAATTATTTGAATTTGGCAATCTAAGAAAAGCTTTTTTTTTTGGTAATTAAGTCATAAAATAGAACAACGAAAACCCTACTACACAGCTACCAAACCAACTAAACTAAGCTAACAACTAAGCTACGAGAAAAACAACTAACTACAAGAAAGCCATACAAGGAAAAACAACAAAGAATAAAGAAAAAACAAAAGGAGCGAAGCCAAGCATAATGACGAAGCCACGCAGTCCTAATCTTGAACAAAGAATAAAGAAAAAACAAATGGTTTCACCCACAAAGCAGTCCGAATCTTGATCAACTCACAGAGCACAACTAATGGAATATCACTCCAAATCTTCCTCTCCATATTCATCAACTTTCCTCTAGCCGCACTTAGTGGACTATTTACTCCTCAGAACCCATTACAGTAAGCACCAAAAGCACACAGCAACAGAGCAAGAACCAGAGCCAAACCAAAGCTGTTGCTGTTGCTGCTGCTTACCAGGTCAATGACATAATGCAGTAGCTACTCACCCACAATGCAAAAATAGAACAGATTATGAACCAGACCATCCCAATAGATTATGTACCAGACCACCGAGAGTAGCTACTACTCTCCATGGAAAAAGCTGCTGATGTTGCTCACCAGTTTAGAGTTTACTAAATTGGTGGTCTAGCTGTAGACAGAAGAAGATGGAAAGGAAGTTATGGGGTGTAATCCCATCTGCTATTTCTTAGTTGATCCTTACTTCATGTTATTAGTCTCTGTCTCTTTCTTAGTTGATCCTTAAATAAATTCTAATTTATCTCAAGTATAGAATCAAATTATTAAAATATTTTTAAATGTAGAATGCATTACCTATTTTCATATTATATTAAATTGTTAATTACCAACTCATTCAAAGGATTAAACTATTCAAATGTGACACATGCACGGTATGACTTAAATTTGGAAGAAACTCAATTGGCTTACAGCTTTGAACAAACACCTCACACGCACACAATCAAATGGAGCATTCTTGGCTTAAAAGAGGGAAGGAAAGAGGGTTTGTTTGTGTGCCTAAGGGGGAAATAGAACTATTCTAGCCAAGGAAAAAAAATTACCTAATGCAGTGATACAATATAAAGAATAAGAATAATTCACATCACACCCAAAAGCAACAAATATAAGAAGACACCCAAACAGGAAGCTTCGTGATTTACATGTTGAAAACTATCCAAAAATTGGGTCTTTAAATTATCATGAAATCTGGGAGTGGTTTGTTTTTAGTGGCTCTACTTGTTTCAATGAAAATTAAGATAATAATGTGTAAATAAATTATGGTCGATGCAATAAAGAGGCCAAGTATTTTAACTTCATATCAATGTAGGATGAACATTAATAAATAAGTATAATGTAGTATTCTTTTCCATAGTGTTCAATTTTATTTTTATTTTTGTAAACAGAGGGAATGCAATCTTAATGAAACACATATCAATTATGACAAAAATTAAGACTTCATAAATTAAGGTATAAAAGGAAAAGTAGAGTGAACAAAAGACTGGAGGGAAAAATATGTAGTCATCAAAATCAAAAGCCTACCACAACACAATACCATCTGATCAAAATACAACGATTATAGGAATGAAAGTATATTTGTACTATAACCAATCAGATTTTTTTAGCCACCGTCGTCATAAATCTTCTCTCCCCATAAATGATGAAGCAATAGTGCTATATTTGGTAATTTATACTTGTTTATGGTAACCACAGCCTCACCTGGTTTGTGGTCCAACTAAAATTGCAATTCATTTATTATTTTGTGATTTGGCTTATTCTAAGCCATTGTGTATTAAGGAATTTGTCACTTAGGATCATCTCCCTTCAGAACCGATAGCTTAGTTTATTTAACAGAGAACAGAGAAAATCCAAGCACTTTAGACCCACTAGAACAACATACGAACAACATAAACAAAATGAAAATATTAGAGAAAAAAAAATTAAATGCTACCCTAGGGTTCATAATGGGAGGGAAGAGAGGGAGCGAAAGAGAGATACATGTGTACCGTGAGAGTCCCTTCCAATCAGATTGTGGAAGAATGCTTTAGCAAATAGTCGATCCCTCTGCCGTGGGTTGCAACGGTAAACAGACCAGAGAAAGGGCAGAGGTATCAAGCGAGACAGATGAAATTTGATGGTCTTGAAGACCACAACCCTTCGAATTCCCAGCTCTTAAAAGAAAAGAAATCGTCTTTAGATATATGTATTGATTGTTCTATATATCAGATGAGGAAGTTTTTATTGTCTACAATGAGCCCAAAAATCTTTTTTTCTTTTTTTTTTTAAGACAAAATAATTTGTCACCGATCACCAATTTTGGGCGCCTTTTTTTAGGTGTGTGGTGCCAAATATTTGGCTTCTTTTTGTGATAAAAAATTTTCTTACCAAATTGAAATTTTCATCTCCAAAAGGAAACCCTTTCTTTTGATTTTTATGACAAAATTAAAAGTTTTATTTGGTTTCATTTTTTGAAAACAATTTTTAAATTAATTGCAAGCCTTAGTATTTTTTTTAGGGGAGATTTACAAATAAATCCCAAATGTTAAACTTATGAATCAATTAGTCCTAAGGTTATTTCTATTGTTCTGATTAGTCCTATTAGTGGGGGAATATCTTATCAGTTGATCCTATTTCCTTTGTTTGGTAACATTGAGCGGTCAATTATACCCTTCCTTGTGTGTGTCACGTGACATATATCATTCCAAGGTAAAAAGCATAAAGAGCCTTAGTGTACTTTGTTGATTTGTGGCACTCATTGTGTGTGTCACGTGACATACATCATTCCAAGGCAAAAAACATAAAGAGCTTTAGTGTACTTTGTTGATGTGTGTGTGTCACGTGACACACTCTCATAAAGAGCCTCAGTGTACTTTGTCGATGTGTGGCACCCACCAATCACGTTGATATGTGGCCTTAGTATACTTTGTTGATGTGTGACACCCATTGTGTGTGTCACGTGACATATTGTGTGTGTGACGTGACACACTCTCATAAAGAGACTTAGTGTACTTTGTTGATGTGTGGCACCCATTGTGTATGTCACGTGACATATTGTGTGTGTCACGTGACACACCCTCATAAAGAGCCTTAGTGTACTTTGTTGATGTGTGGCACCCAAAATGAGGGCATTAAGGTCCCTCAAAATATCCAAGGACTAAACGGTTTATTAAAAAAAAAATTGGGACCAATTGGTTCATAAGTTTAACATTTGAGATTTATCGATAAATCTCCATTTTTTTAATACGTTAGTCTTTTTTTTTTTTTTAATTTTTAGTTGTACATCTAAAAAGTAAAAAATACAAAATTAACTAAAATATGAAAAAAGTTCAACGAAAACAAACGAAAATCCGTTTAAAAATAATTTATGAGAATTTAAATAATAAAAAAAAAATTCAGGTTCAAAAACTAGCGAACAATAATATGAAAAACAATCAAGTTGGAGTTATTTATTTTTTTAGATACACTTAATTTAAATATGCCTAAAAAGTAAAATATTTATGGAAAAAAGAAATCAATAAAAAAAAATGACAATGTACTAAATTTTTATAATTTTTTTTTGTATGTAGTGAATTTTTTTTTATAGTTTTTTCATAAATTTTGTACTTTTTAAGTTTATTTAAAGGGCAAATTACACTGGTGGTCCTTATAATTTGTCTTTTGTGTCATTTTGGTCTCTACACTTTCAATTGGCACAATTTTAACTCTTAATTTTAAATTTTGTGTCAATTTAGTCCATTGATAATGCTGTTAGTGTTTTTAAATGAAAATAATCACTGAATTGATTGAAATTAACTCACTGAGGTTAGTAAATTTATAATTTTCAATAAAAAAAATATGGCACATACCATTTATATGACACAAGGACCAAAGTACTGACTACTGCAATTTGCCCTTACCTAAATTAAAGGGATCTAAAAAGTAAAAAAAGAAAAAAAAATTATAATATTAAAAAACGTTCACTAAAAAAATATAAATTAAAAATTAAAAATTAATTATTGAAAACTCCATACTAAATAAGGTAGTGTTTTCTATTAATTTTGAAAAATAAAAAATTATTTTTATTTTTTTCCTTTGTATTTTTTCTCACAAAAAAATAGCTACTTTAATTATCTTCTATTTTTTTCTTTTTTCTCTGTTTTTTTTTTTTGGTGGAGAAGGGGTTTGATCTGCTATTTTTCTAAAACGGGTGTTCCAGACGGAAAGTGTAAAGTTGGTTTAGACAATGAGAAAAAGTGCTTGCATGCAAGAGGGACCTTCACTATGAGAAAGAATAGTCGGTTTGCATAGGGTGCCTTCTTGGATAATAGCTTCAATACTGACATGCATGAAGGGCTTAAGTGTGAGACATAAGAGAGGGGCTTTAGTGTGAAATAGAAGAAATGGTTTACAAAATATCTTCTTGCATCACGATTTCAAGTGCAAGAGAAAAATGAGGGTTTGTAGAAAGTGTCTTCTTGGGTCACGACTTCAGTGTCAGAGTGTGTCTCTTGGGGTCACAGTTTCAATGCTCCGAAACACAAAACCACAACATTTTAATAAAGAGAAATATTTAGTGATAAAATATTTTTGTCTCCTTAAATACAAGAACAGAGAATTTATTATTGGTGATGAAACATTATTCTCTTCCACAACATAACTTTATGAGACGAAAAATATATTCGTCGCGCAATCAATCCGAATTTATTAGTGATGGAATATTTTCGTCTTCCACAACTTATTCTTCCAAGACAAAAATATATTTGTCGCCCATTTAATAGAAAGATGAAACGACATCGTTTGCATGATAGAGTGTTTATTGGTGACGAAATATTTTCGTCTTCCATGACTTATCATTCCTAGACAAAAATATATTTGTTGCCTAATAAATAGAAATATGTAACGACATCGTTTAATTGGTAGAGAATTTATTGGTGATGAATTACGTGCGTCGCAACAAAAAAAAAAAAAAACTTTGTGACAAAAATGTTCGCCTCTAATGAGCTAAAATATTTCGCGCCAATGCAAATGAAATTGGCGCCTGATTTCTGCAAACAAAATTTTGTTTTTGTCTCCTATACGTTTGAGAAAAATTAAAACAAACGACAAAATTAATATTTTGTCATCTTTGAGTTAAATTTTAAGACTAAAAAAAAAATCGTCACCAAATTTCGTTACAATAGCCTAAATTTCATGTAGTTTCTCAAAACCCTAACCCTAGCCCTAGGGTTTTCAGAAATGGTAGCAGCGATCTGGGTCACGAGGATAAGAAGAAGAAGAAGAAGAAGAAGAGGCAGTGGGGTGAAGAAGAAGGAAAATGAAAGAAGAAAGAGAAAGGTAACAACTATGGTGGGAGTACCGGCAATGAAGGCTACGGTGAGTGAACTGCTGGATGTGGTGGTTGGGAGTGGGGGCTAGGGTTTGGGTTTGGGTTTGAGTTTGGGATTAAGGGTATAGTTGGTATTAAGGTAGGAGTTCAACAAAAAAAATAAAAGGGTTTCATTTTGCTAGGTGAGGGTTCAAAGAAGTAGGAAAGCCAAGGTAAAAAAATGGGGGAAATAACAGTCCTCGAAAAAAAAAAAAATGTGACCAAAAGATTATGTATTTATTTTTTGTAGACAATATTTATGAAAATGTTACTTCTATATATAATTATTAAATTTTATTTAAATATATAGCAAAGTTTACAATAAGAAAAATTATCAAAATAATTCAAACACAAATAATAAATAAAATAGTGAGCAAAAATATCAGTTAAATATCATCCAATATCAAAAAAAAAAATATCATCCAATATCACCCTTTTTTATATTTTTAATTGCAAACTTGCTAATTAAACTTGTATAATACTTTTCAATAGATAAAATTACTAATCCATTCTTTCATTTTCTTTTTTCTTTTCTTTTTTTTTTTGTGACATAGTTCATCGAAAATATAATTTAATCAATTTTAAAATTTAAATTTTTCGGAGAGACAGAGAGAGCAGATCTGAGAATAAGATCTACATCTCTACGTCGTTGAGCTTGCTTCGACTCACTGTTGGTAACGGTCCAGATCCAACGCTACTTGCTATTCTGTACGTGATCAGAGACATTAATACGTATTCTACCCACAATTCATGCATTTGAGAAATTATCATCCTTAATTTCAAATAGTTTGCCATATCAATCGACTTTTTGATGCTTTTGGGTAAAGACAATCTTCCACAACAATCATTTATTAATTTTGAATTTTTACCAATCTTTATTGAGGACTTTTAAATTCAAATAATTTTTTTTATTATTTTCAAACTAAGCGGAATAGCTAAAAAAAATGGGGCGTTTTTGTTCATCAATTTTTGGGTCCAAAACGGCAGCTTTATTGGCCTTGGGCCAAAGCCAACCTTGACGAATATTGCAGTCTACAGAACATGATTCAAAAATTATTTAAAATATATGCAAGTAGAATAATATAGTAAAAAACAAACAATTCACATATTAAATTTCGAAAAACGTCAATATAAAATATAGTCCCAGAAAAAGAACGTCATATACTAAAAATTAAATTCACTAAACTATCACCCCATCCATCATGTCATTTTCAAGAACAAGTAAGACTTTTATCATCTTTATGAATTTTTATTTTAAAGTGAACGGTCTATATGGTAAGGGTGAATATGGTCCGGATTGGTTTGGATTAGAATAAAATCTTGACTAATTCGTTATTTGCGGTTCTTAAAAAATTAGAATCAATCCAATCCGTTCAAATCATTGAACCAATCCGTTTAAACACAGATTAGATCGGTTTAGGACCACAAATTCACATAATCAAATAAAAAAAAAATATATATATATATATAGAACATTTTAATTTCATAAAAATATAAACATAGTATCAAACAAAAGCAACAAACAAAAGTAATAAAACTGGATACACATTACACAAAGCAAAGTTCTCTTATGTATTAAAACTAAAAATAGCATCAAACAAAAACAATAAGAAAACTGATTTAACTTTTATATGAAATAAGAAATGATATTATGTGGGAGGGTCTATAATATAAATATAGACTATTTGTATACGGTCTGGATTAGTTCCAATCTGGAACCGTAGGATTCAATCCGGAACCGATCTGTGGCCTACGAATTTTTAAATTTTTAATTCGGAACCAAAACAAGGATTCAAAAAATCAATCTAAACTTACCGAATTGGATTGAATCAGATCAGATTACGAATTCTATAGGTTTCTTGCTCAACCCTACTATATCGAACCATACCATTATGCATTTTTTGTTTATATATCATTGCTCTTGAATACTATTTTCCATTTACTTTTTACAATATAAAGCTAGTCAAAATGGAAAGAGAAAAGTAAATTAAAGTTCGTTTGTTTCGATACAAAATATTTTATATAATTTTTTTTCTTGTAAATTAATTTTATATGGAAAAAATATTGTTATTTTTGTTTTTTAGGGTTTGGTTGACACTTGAAACAAAATCATTTTAGTGCCTAAAAGAAAAATTTTGATTTAATAAAGTGTCATTTATGATTTTTTGGAGAGTTAAATATTTATTTGAAAATGCTAAATGTGTTGAAAACTTAGTGAGTGAGAGTCAGCTTTGTAAAAATCGACTTACGAAATTTTAAAGGTAAGTCATTTTTAAAAAATATTTGGTTACTTTTGTTCAACCAAATAATAAAAAATAAATAAAATATTTTTAATTAAAATATTTTATATTAAAACGAATGGAGTCTGATCCCTTGGCTTTTCCGACGATACAAAGGCATTTAAGTAATTGTTGTTTTATAAGACCATAATGGAGACGTAATTTTTTATTTTTTTTATTTTTATTTTTTCAAAATGAACACGATATTGAAATTTTTTCTTGGAACCCGATTGGTTTCTAAGATCCTTTTCGGATCTAGACTTTATATTAGGTAGGAGTTAAAAAAGTTGATTACTTGGCGAAGAGGTAGCACCCCTTAATGACTCGCTCACAGGGTTGATTACTTGGAGAAGAGGCAGCACCCCTTAATGACTCGCTCACAGAGTTGATTACTTGGAGAAGAGGCAGCACCCCTTAATGACTCGTTCACTTACCAAAGATTAAAGAAAGACGAAAAGAAATAGTAAGGATCTCTTGTCCTTAAAAATTTTTGTCTTTTTGTTTTAAATCGTTCACAATCATTAGATTATATGAGAATTTCAATATTTACAAATTTCAAAACATATCTAATGGTTATAAATGATTTGGAACAGAGATACAGAAATTTTTGAGAACAAAGAATCTTGGGCAAAAAGAAAAGTACCCCATCAAAATAAATACCTCATATTATACATCAGAGCAAAACGTGCATTCGGACCTCACCCTTTACGTCACAAGTCCTCTTATAAATAATCGTATTTCAATCTACCAAAAATAAGATCAAGTTCTCTCTCTCTCTCTCTCTCTCTATCTCTCTCTCTCTCTGTGACAAAGATGATAACAGGAACACATGAACAAGAACAAACTCAGAAAGCAGTTGGATGGGCAGCCCTAGATTCCTCCGGGATACTTTCTCCTTTCCATTTTACTAGAAGGTATATTTTACACAAATGTACTTTAAATTTGAATATTTGACTTAAATTTAAAAAGCAATAATGTTAAGAACAAAAAATTAGTGTATCAATTAATACACTAACTAAGTAGGTGTTTGGTTTAGACTTAAAAAGTATACTTTTTTTTGCATACATACATTTATTTAGGTCACATCAATCAACATTTATCAACATTTACTCTCTACTTTTTTACCAACTTTCTCTACTTTTCTACACATTTTTTTTATTATAAAAAGTCAAAAAAATGCACTTGTTTAAAACATCTCAAATCACCCCTAAAACACAAAAGTACCCCATCAAAATAAATACTTCATATTATACATCAGAGCAAAACGTGCATTCGGACCTCACCCTTTACGTCACAACTCCTCTTATAAATAATCGTATTTCAATCTACCAAAAATAAGATCAAGTTCTCTCTCTCTCTCTCTCTCTCTATCTCTCTCTCTCTGTGTGACAAAGATGATAACAGGAACACATGAACAAGAACAAACTCAGAAAGCAGTTGGATGGGCAGCCCTAGATTCCTCCGGGATACTTTCTCCTTTCCATTTTACTAGAAGGTATATTTTACACAAATGTACTTTAAATTTGAATATTTGACTTAAATTTAAAAAGCAATAATGTTAAGAACAAAAAATTAGTGTATCAATTAATACACTAACTAAGTAGGTGTTTGGTTTAGACTTAAAAAGTATACTTTTTTTTGCATACATACATTTATTTAGGTCACATCAATCAACATTTATCAACATTTACTCTCTACTTTTTTACCAACTTTCTCTACTTTTCTACACATTTTTTTTATTATAAAAAGTCAAAAAAATGCACTTGTTTAAAACATCTCAAATCACCCCTAAAACACAAGACATATATGTGAATTTTATTAATATGAGTCTCTCCTAATATTGTATCTAATTAATACATTAGTTAATGTTTTTAGCATTATTATTAAAATATTAAAAATCATTTTCAAAAAGCAGTTGAGCCGAAGACCATAAACCCAACTATTTTTTGAGAAATCAGAAACTTCATTCATAAAAACCATCAAGGTGCAATACAAACAAAGAATTAAGAACAGGAGCAAGCCATGAAGGAGCATAAGGCGACGTTAAGTTGACTTTTTGACTATTTTATTCTGAAGTTAAAATAGCTTCTTTTGGAATGAAATTTTTGATTTTTTTAACTTTAGTAAGAAAAAATAAAATGATTATAGATTGATGTGATAACTTTTAAGTTGGAGACTAAAAAATTTATTTTGTCTTTTTGTGACGGTTTTAGTCTCAACTTCATCCAAACCCACTCTCCGAACGGCTACTAAAAGAAAGAAAAACAAGTTAAGAATATGTCCTAGAAGCTAAAAAGAGCCATTCCAAGCAAACATCCTGAATAGCAATAACCCCGAGCCTAGCTAGCATCAGAATCCTTCGCAAACTCCTCCCACTGACAATGAACACCTGCAATTACAGGTGGATAGTACGTCGTGGGGGAGCATGAACAATGCTGGGGTCACCATGGTTGTCTTCAATTAAACTTACATTAGTCATTCTTGTTGGATCATCCCATGTGAGCTCCCATTAGAGAACCCACTTTCTCCACCCAATGGAAGTGGCTCTCCCACTCTACCAACCCCACTAGAGAGTGGAAGAGGGTAGGTGGTGACCAATGAGGCTCTCCCTCATTGGTGTATAAATAGAGGTTGAGGGGAGAGTTGAAATCATCAGAAATTGAGAGTGAGAGCTGTGAGTTGAGTGAGTTTCATCTCCTCCTCTGTATTTGTATTTTTGCTCCATTTTAGTGATAATTCTCTTTTCTGTCCGTGGATGTAGGCATTGGGCCGAACCACGTAAATATTGTGTTCTCTGTGCGTGTGAGATAATTCTCTGGGTGTCTTTGATCCTAACAAGTGGTATCAGAGCCTCGTTGGTGGCGTTTCGGAACAAAAACAGCGTGTTGTTCGAAACTGCCCAGAAATCGTATTGCTCGAAATCAGTTTCTGAGCATACTAGGAGCAAGGGCTCGACGAGAGGAGTCCAGAAACATAAAGAAAACACCCAACGGAGGCCGGACGCACCCTCACGCGCCTCTGGAAGTTGGCGCGTGAATCCCAGACGCGTCACGCGCCGTTCAGGCTCCCGGCGCGTGGTCACAGTCTCAGACACGCGCTACACGCGCGGACGAAGGTAGACGACGCGTGAGTTGAAGCGCGACACGCGCCGCACGCGCGCGAACCAAGCCGATCGAGCAGGAGCCGCGTTGACCGAGCCAGAGCCAGAGCCGCTGACTGAGCCGATGACGTCAGCCTGACGTCAGCATAACTGGAGGAGTAATCTGGTGCTTCGCAGGCGCACCAGATTCTGCCGATCTGAACCGTTAAAATTGTTTTGGCTTGATCGAAGCCATTTGGAGTCTGTTTTTGGTGATCCAATAGTGGTTTCTGACTATTTGGAGTATTCCGGGCACATCCGTACGGTCAGATTTTGCAAATAAGTTTTTCAACAATTTGCAGTTTTTTATTTTGGCAATCCGAATTGCTTTTCCGGCTAATTTGAGCAGGCCGGACTTCACAGCAAAGCCTGTTTTTCAAAGAGAGATTAATTTCTGGATGATGGAGGAATCCACATCAGCTTCAGGGCCGATGATTCGGTTGAACGCTTCTAATTATGCGATATGGAAGCCGCGGATGGAGGACGTCCTGTATTGTAGAGATTTGTTTGACCCTATAGCGCTAAAGGGGGTCAAACCAGATGGAGACAAGGATGGGGACTGGATAAAAACCAACCGGAAGACTGTCGGTCAAATCAGACAGTGGATTGACCACAGTGTGTTCCACCATGTTGCCCAAGAGACAGACGCCTATGCCCTATGGATGAAATTGGAGGGCATGTACCAGTCCAAGACCGCACGGAACAAAGCCATGATAATGAGAAGGCTTATAAACCTGAAGCTGAAGAATAGTGTGTCTGTTGCTGAACACACCAGTGAATTCCACAGCCTTGTGAACCAGCTTGCATCAATCAAAATGGAGTTGGAGGATGAGATGCAAGCATTATTATTACTCAGTTCCTTACCAGACAGCTGGGAGACGTTGGTGGTTTCTCTCAGTAATTCTGCACCCGAAGGGAAGCTGACCATGGGGATGGTCACAGACGCCTTATTCAACGAGGAGGCAAGGAAGAAAGAGATGGAAGGAGAGCAGTCTCATGCCCTTGTCACAGAAAGTAGAGGCAGAGATAGAGAAAGGGGCAGAGGTAGAGGAAGAAGTAAAAGCAGATGGCGTTCACAGTCCAAACAGGACAACATGAGAAGGTGTTTTTACTGTGATCAAGAGGATCACATAATAAGAGATTGCCCAGAGAAAAAGGCGGACAGACAAGCCAAAGAGAAGGCTAAGGGACACGGAAGTCCCTCAACTACAGCAGTTGCAGTGAATTCCTCTGACGATGAAGAGGTGATGCTTACAGTCTCGTCAGAGTTGAAAACACCCGGCTGGATTTTGGATTCAGGGTGTACGTTCCACATATGTGCGGATAGGAAGCTTTTCTCCACTTACCGAAGAGTCAGCGGTAGCATTATCCGGATGGCCAACAACACAGTGAACAGAATTGTCGGCATAGGGACAGTGCGATTCCTTACTAAGGATGGAAGAAAAGTAATTTTATCTGAGGTCCGACATGTGCCAGGAGTACGGAGGAATCTAATCTCCCTGAGTATGCTAGATCTAAAAGGAAATTGTTTCTCATCTAGTGGCGGGGTTCTTCATGTACACAGAGGTGATAAAGAATTGTTGCAAGGCAAATTGTGCAACAAACTGTACAGACTGGAAGGAGAAGTTTTGACAAAGATGAGTGTTGTCAAATGCCAGTCGAAGGGTACAAAGAGAGAACATACGCAACCAAAGCGTATGATTGAGCAAGGCTTTCATCAGGAATGGCGAAAACGGTGCACGGGAACGCAAGGAGGCAGTTCAAAGGTGCACAGAGCTGAGCCAGTGAAGCCAATCTTGAAGAAAGTTCAGAGCAAAGAAACCAAGTCTGTAGAGACTATGCCAGTGAAGAAGAGAGTTTCTTTTGCTTCCGTGTTAGAGACATTTTGCAACCTCTCAAAAGATGCATGGAAAGGAGGGATGCAATCTCGAGTCGCAAAGTGAGCGTTGCAATGCACTCCAATAAGGGGGTGCGAGCACTATGCACGGAGTTGCATAGTGATAACTTGTACAGACCGATGGAAGTTGTCTTGGCAGAAGGGCTAACTGTCAAACATCAGTACGGACGTACAAGTGAGACTGAACCGAACATCAGGGATTGCAGCACAGACAACGGGCGTATGAGATCGCTGGGAAGTTGTTCTAAAGTGCAGAAAGCAAAGGCTGGTTGTTCAGAAATAAGCTCCGAGCAAGGAAAATTGAGGATATTGATGTGTCAAACTCTGAAGTTTTCTAGTTCTGAACAACTTTTCCCTTAATTCTACTCCATCATCTTATACGCCAAAGGTACCTCTTTATCATTCTACTCGGGTAACACAAATACTTCTTCGTGATTTCAATGTTGGTGCTACTACTTTTTCTTCTCATGAACCAACTTCCTATCAAGGGGCTTGCTCTAACCCTCTGGGGTTTGTATCATCAGAAATTGAGTGTGAGAGCTGTGAGTTGAGTGAGTTTTATCTCCTCCTCTGTATTTGTATTTTTGCTCCATTTTAGTGATAATTCTCTTTTCTGTCCGTGGATGTAGGCATTGGGCCGAACCACGTAAATATTGTGTTCTCTGTGTGTGTGAGATAATTCTCTGGGTGTCTTTGATCCTAACAATTCTCTCATGAGATTATATACATATAGATAATATTTGGGTCCAACAACTTTTGGTAAATTTTATGGGATATGCCCCCAACGTTTGTGATTTTATATTATGACGTGATATTAGTTAATTATGATATGGTTATGATTTGGTTATATAAATTGTTGTGCTAATTATTTATATGTAAAGAATCTTTCTCTTTTAGATTTAATCTAAAAGAATTTTTATTATACCTCATGTGTTGTTTGGTTATATTTGTTTTTTAGTTAAAAAGATTCAATTATAACATTTGCAATAAATGTTTCTATAAATATTATTGGGATAAACTCTCCGCTATACCTCATCTCTCCATACTCATCTTTTTATGTGTTTCAATTCGCACTAATAATCCGAATTGATTATCTTTTAGGTCTTGCATTGAATGTCATTCATGTAAAAAATCAGTTTTATCAAACAACTATAAATATGGAAACAAATAGCATTTTTTTTAATAAAATGAACAGTAAGTATAATTAAATTTAAACCATCTATTTTATAAAATAAAATGCTATTTGTTCTTGTATTTATAATTATTTGATCAATAATGCTTGAGACCACTAAAAGTGGTGCTCTAAAAGCACCACTAGTGATGTGGCAGTGGACGGGACCCACTGCTTGTGTCTTTTTTTTTTTTTTTTTTTTGGTTAAAGTGCTTGCCAACTCATTAGTGGTGCTTTAGAGCACCACTTTTAGTGGGATGTATCATTACCCTTATTTGATGAAATTGGTTTTTCGCATTAATGACCTTTAATGTGGGACCTACTAAATAGACAGTTCAAATTATCAGTATGGGTCTAAATGGAAACCCGTAATAATAGGGGTGAGTATGGTTCGGATTTGGATAAAATCAGAACCAATCCGTTATCTATGGTTCTTGAAAAATTAGAACCAATCCAATTCATTTGAATCATGGAACCAATCCGAACTAATCTATTTAAATACGGATTGGATCGGTTTTAGGATCACGGATTCACATAATTAAATAACAATATATATATATAACATTTTAATTTCATAAAAATATAACCATAGCATCATATTAGTTCCACAATAGTAACATTTTTTTTAATAATAACGACATACTATTCTAGAATTTAAACAACCACAAAAAAATTAGTTCTACTATAAATATTGAGACCATTACAAATTAAAACTAAAAACCAACAAACAAAAGTAATAAAAGAAGATATTATGCGGGTTTAAGTTTACGTTTAGGTTTAGATTCTATATAGAATTAGAAAAAATACTATACGGGAGGATGTATAATATAAATATAAACTATCTATATACGGTCCGGATCAGTTCTAATCCGGAACCGTATGGTTCAATCCGGAATCGATCCGTGAACTACAAATTTTTTATTTTTCAAACTAGAATCGAACCACAGATTTAAAAAATCAATCTAAACCTACCAGACTGGACTAAACTGAACCGAATCAAATCACTGATTTTACGACTTCCTTCGTTAGCCCTACGTAATAAGAACACACAGAGGAGAGACAAATACTGTAAGATATAGTTTTGAACAAAATAAAATGCTCTTGTCCTTATTGTTGGGTATCGCACGAGTAAGTGACCACTTAGTCCATTTTGCTAATTAGTCAAGTCAAAATTATATTAATATATATATTTGATGAAATGTCAAAATTTTGTAAAAATTATATTTAGGGGTGCTCGCGGATCGATTTTGTGCGGTTTACGGTTCGATTTTGATCCGCCTGCATCTATGCAGTTTGAGAAAAAGTCAACCCGCAACCGCCCGCAGTGCGATTTGCGGTTTGTGCGGATAGGATTTGCAGATGTGCGGACGGTTTGCGGTTCACACTTTTTTCTTTAAAAATTAATTTTTGAGTTTTTTTCTTCCCATTGAATTTAGGCATCAGATTCATTTTATATATTTGTGATCATTTGACAGCAATTTTCTTATGAGTTTACAAATAAAAATTGAATATCAATGCATTAAATGAAAGTACCCAAAACAAAGAGACCCTACACTAGCATTTTTGCCATGAAAAAAATATATATCAATGCATTAAAAAATGTATATCAATGCATTAAAGGTTGTACTCAATTATAATTGTCAGTTCAGTAATCAATAATTAAACTAGAAGCTCCATCGACCACCAGAAGAAAAAATTTATTAAGAAAAAGTGGATAAGTCACCAATGAAAATCATATAAGAAACCAAGTTTAGGACTTGATAATTCTACAGCATTAAGAAAGTTGAGAAATACTTAAAAATAAGGATCCTAATGTCATAGAGGACATAATGGTGCTCCTGTTAAAGTTACAAAGTTGGTATATAAAAAATAATAATAATTAAAATGCGGCAATTTTTGCGGGTTGCGGGTTTAATCGGCAACCCGCAAATTTATTATATTTCAAATCACATCCGTCCGCATTATGTTTACGAAACCGTCTATTTATATGCGAGTTGAACAGATTAGGCGATTTGAGCAGTTCGAATAAATCGCTGTCCACTCCTAATTATATTAAGGCCTCGTTTGGGAACAAGCTAATTTAGTAACTTTTTGGCTATTTGGCTAAAATATAAGTTAAAAAAAACTAGTATGTTTGGGATGACTTTTTGGCTTTTTACGAAAAGATGTGAAAAAGTAGAGAGAAAAGAGAATCTTTGACTTTTTGGTATGGATTGTTGGCTTTTTGGCTAATTTAGTAACTTTTTGACTTTTTGACTAAAAAGTTCGGTTGCCAAACGAGGCCTAAATATTAATTGACTTGCAAACGTATATGTATGTATATGTCCATTTGCGGGTTGTGTATAAATATTTGGTTTTTCCCAGATGGATTGGAATCTAGTGTGTAGGGTTCTCACTTTTGAATATAAAAATGAAACGTACCTAACAATATCTAAAATTTAAAAAGCAGTAATTCAAATTCATTTAATTCATATTATATTAATATTTTAAAGGAGGATGGGGTGTTTGTTTCAGCTTTTCAGAGTTAACTTATGGCTTTTAACTTTAAAAAAGTTATTTTAGACTATTTGGTTAAACTTATTTTAAACAACTTCTGATTCTAACAGTTTATTTTAACTCAAAAAAGCTGATTCTGAGAAGCTGCTCACCCCTTGCTTCTGATTATCAGCTTCTGCTGCGGACATGTTAATTTATGGTTATACTTTTAATTTTTTTTATTTTTTATTTCTTTAAAAATAGAAAAAGACCCAAATGGACTATAGATTATTATTATTATTTTTTATGAGAAATATAGACAAACAAAAAATAATTGAAAAAGTTATTTCACAGCTTATTTAACAAACACTACTCAGCAATTTAAATCTATAATTCAACAGCTACACCAAACAGATTAACAACTTTTGATTAAGGTCATAATCTATAATCTGTTAAGTTATAATCTATAAGCTATTTTAACAGGTACACCAAACGGGACAACTATTGGGAACTTGGGTGAATCAGTTGTAAACTTTTTAAGTTGAAAAATGATATAATGTTGTTAAATTCATTTTCTAGATCTAATGATATATATGGGGTGTTTGGAAAGTTTGGTTTTTGGTTTTTTTTTTTTTTTTTGTTTTTTTCTACTAAAAGACAAATTGATTACAGAACCAAAAAAAATCAATTCAAACAAAATATCACATCAAACCTCATAATCATTTCGCTTTTTATCTCACAAACATCATATCTAACCACAAAAAAATTCAACTATCTTTCCAAACACAAAAAAAAAATTTCTCAAATAATATCCTACAACTAAAAAAATTTACAAACAAAACTCACTTCCCAAACACCCACATAAGTGATATAATCGGTTAATAATTAGAGAATATATAAGAAAAAATATTGCCTTCAATATCTTAATTGATTGTCACATCACTGATTTTGAAAATTGAATCAAATTTTTGATATTAAATAGCAGTGCTCTTTTGAAAAAGAGTTTGATAGCACTCAAACGGACTATGATACTGGTTGTGAACTAACTCTATCATTAGTAAAATTGAGTTATAAATGAATTATTAAAGCACATATATATGTATCAACTAGTACATTGCATTTTTGCTGATATTTAGAACCTTGCGATAAGAAGCGTGGAAGGTTATTTGTATTATTATTACATTCTCAAAATTGGGTTCAACGTTGCGTCTTGGACTTCCATTTGAAGAAAACAGCAAATTACGTGTACGCTCAGAGTACTTGTTTTAATTATATATATACACATAAAGTAGTCAAAGAATATTATTGTCACATTTTGGAACACATCATGATGCATTATGTCAATGATAGACATCTTATATATAATATTGTTGGTTTTCATTTTAGGGCTAATGGAGATAATGACATTACAATGAAGATTCTTTATTGTGGGATTTGTCATTCTGATTTGCACATGACCACAAATACATTTGGATTTTCTTCTTATCCTATGATTCCTGGGTAAGTAGTATGTTCTCAATTTGCTTAATACACACTTGAAACTTAACTCTCATTTTTTTGTCCTAGAACTCAATCCTTGTTTAGTTATTTTGATTCGAATAATTCTAGGTATTCAAAATGAGGGCTGCTAATAACACTTCATTTTTTTCTTTGGACTTCTATCATTTAATTTATTTATTTATTTTGTTTTACAATTTTACCCCAGCATAAAATTTTAATTTTGTCCTCATCTCTTTTCTCTCTAAACTCTAACCCTAATCCCCCACACCCACCAGTCCCAGCTGCGGCCACCAACAACCCTCAGCTCCGGCACCACTCTTGCCGCCACCTAGACCAGCCCCAACCCAGTTCTCACACTTCCGCACCCATTCTCTCATCCTCTCTTGAGGCCCCCAACCCCTTTTCTAGCTAAACCAATTCACAAGTGAAGCTTTTTCTGTTTAGATCTAGATTGAAATCTGGCAATCCCACTATAGTAAGACAAATGGAGCATGGCAATGTCAGCTTAGAGGAGTTTCACAACTTCGTTGAAATTCGTAGTTCAAAGGAGGTTCATCCTGTAAAAAACAAAAATAAAATAAAGTAAGTTTTGACATTTGCTTGATACTGAATGCACTAACATGTATAAAAAAAAAAAAAAGAAAACCATAAAACTATAATCAAATTAGAGGCAATAATTCAGCATAGCCTAACCAAATGGGTTTGCTTAGCCAAATAGTTTCGAGCAAAATAATCGTATTTTGGTAGTTCAGTCCTGAATACAACTTAGAAAGAACAAGTAAGGTTCATGAGAACGAGATTAATGAAAAAAATTCAAAAAAGTAACCATACTTCAAAACAATCAACAATAAATTTATACCAAAAAAGAGGGCTGAAGGGTATAGAGGTAGCGTCAGAGGAGGTGAGGGGCGGGAAAGGAGGAGAAAGGGCTGGTGTCGGGGATGGTGAGGCTGCCGGCGATGAGGAGCTACCAGAAGAAGAGTTAGTAGGGGTGGGGTCCAAAGAAGAAGGGTATATTTGAAATTAAGGAAGTGGGGAGGCATTTAGGTGGACGGAGGGCCAAAGAAATGCGGTCCAAAAGAAAAAATTGAGTGCTATTAGTAGCACACATTCAAAATGGGTAAATTACACGTCACTCCTTTACTATCAATTGATATCGCTTTACCCTTCAATTAAAAAAATGTAATACTTTGTCACATTGAACTATCAATTTGTATCAATGTGAACCTTGTATTAACGATCGTTATATAAATGGATGAAAATTTGACAAGTGGCTTACATATAAAAACTAAAATATTATGGAACATTTAAAATATCATTCTTCTCTTCTTCTTTTTTAATTTTTATTTATTTATTTATCTCAGTCATAGTGTAGGCAGTCACGACCATTGACGCGAATTGGACAAATGAGGAAAGAGAAAATAACGGAAAGAGAAGAATAATCATTTTAAGAATTTCAAAATATTTATCAATTTTCTATCCATATATGTAATCATATCCTTAATTGAGTACATACTACTTTTTATGAGTACTAACTAGTTGTAGGTACATTCAGGCATGAGATAGTTGGTGTGGTGACCAAAGTAGGATGCAAAGTAAACAAATTCAAGGTAGGAGATAAAGCAGGAGTGGGGGGCTTCATTGGCTCATGTGGTACATGCACCAGTTGCCAGAACAACCTCGAAAACTATTGCACAAAAGTCACTCATACTGCCACCATCTTTGGTGGGGCAGAGGAAGAGAAAAACTACGGTGGCTTTTCTGACATAATGGTTGTTGACGAGCACTTTGCCATCCGATTCCCCAATAGTCTGTCACTTGAGGGCGGTGCACCGTTACTCGGTGGTGGTATTACAGTGTATAGTCCAATGAAATACTTTGGGTTGAATGAGGCAGGGAAGCATTTGGGGGTGGTTGGGCTAGGTGGACTTGGTCACTTGGCTGTTAAGTTTGCCAAGGCCTTTGGGATGAAGGTAACTGTGATTAGTACTTCTCCTAACAAGAAAGAGGAAGCCATTGGGCGACTTGGTGCTGACTCTTTTCTAGTTAGTAGCGATACAATGCAAATGCAGGTGAGCACTTGTATATGTGCTGTGTCATGGGATTATACATAGAATAAAGTTCTGTTTTGTAAAACTTTTACTTCTGCAAGTTTGAGAAAGACCTAAGTAAAAGAATTTTTAAAAAATCCAAAATAAAAAGTTAATTAAAGACAATTATCATCAATCTTGTAGATCTTTTACCTTTTTATTTTTATTTTTATTTTTATTTTATATATATATATATATTGTCTTCGATGGATTTATTTTTTAAAAAAAATATCACCTTGTTTGGTTTCAATTTTTTGAATTCAATTATTTGAAATTGAATTTTTTTATTTTTCATATTTTTTTAGTGATTTTTTTTTATATAAATATTTTAAGCAAATTTTTTACTTTCTAGATGCACCTATATAACCTAAATGTACTTAAAAAGTAAAATATTTATAAATAAAAAAAAATCAATAAAGACACAAGAATACGAAAATGTAATAAATTTTTATATTTTTAGTATTTAGTGAATTTTTTTTAAAAAAAATTTCACAAATATTATATTTTTTAATTGTATTTATATTAAGTGTGTCTAAAAAAAATTATTAAAAATATTTAAAAAATTAAGTGAACAAAAAAAAAAACTCAATTTTCAAAAAATTGAATTTAGAAAATTAGAACTAAACAATGTATTTTTACTTTTCAACTCCATTTAGCCTAATTCGGCCTAAAGGTGAAAGTATTTTTATTTTTGATTACTTTACATGTGTTGCAGGCTGCCATGAACACAATGGATGGCATTCTTGATACTGTCTCAGCAGCTCATCCTTTCAATCCTTTGATTCGTCTTTTGAAATGTAATGGGAAGCTAATACTATTAGGTGCCGGTGTCGCAGATATAGAGAAACCAATTGATTTGGCAGTTTTATTGACTGCTGGTAAGTTCAAACAGCACATTCCAATTGTTCCATTAATATTTCATTACTCAGCAAAATATGATTACTTGGAAGAATTGTTGCAAGATAGTCATTAATTTTCTTAGGTGAATGAATCATGATTTGTTAAAAATGAATATATAGTAATTAATAAATTAATTAATGAAATCAAGTCGATTTTGAATTGCAGGAAGGAAGCTAATAGCAGGAAGCAATTCAGGAGGGATGAAGGAGACGCAAGAAATGATAGATTTTGCTGGGAAGCACAACATTGTTGCAGATGTTGAAGTTATTCCAATAGACTACATAAACACAGCCATGAAACGACTTGCCAAAGGGGACATCCGCTATCGATTTGTCATTGACATAGGAAACACCTTGACAGCTTAGATAATTTTTAGTTTTATTCTATTTGTATTCCAATTTGGCTTGCTTCTATTTGTTCTATTTATTCCACATGTATGCAAATTTATAGTTGCCTTTTATGTGCTCTTTCTGCTCAGATTTGTTTTCCTATATTCCTTTATTTTTTTTTTTTTTGGCACCAAAATTTAGCTGCCTGTAGTTTTAGATTCTTTCTATATACATTGTTTTAATTTTGTTACATGTCATGCTTGTTATTTTCTTTATTGATTTATTGATAATGAGAATAACCCTAAGTATCACATGGTTTGGTATTTAGTCATTGTTAAAAAGCTCAAGCCTTGCACCAGTGTGCCTAGTGCTAGTAATTGCAATTTTCATAGTACAAAAAAAATAAAATAAAATGTAATTGCAACTTCCAAAAAGGAATTTGGTTTGATTTTTATAAGAGTGTTGGTATTTGCCCCTTACATTTTTTTCTAACAACCCCTACCTCTTTCGTTTTTGTTTTTTAATTCTAATTTTGTCCAAACATAAAATTCTACTTTTACCCTCACCTCCAGCACTCACCACCACCTCCAGCACTCACCACCACCTCCTACCGTCACCATCCTCATTTTCTTACTTCTAGGCACCCCTCTCCAACCCCCTCCACCACTCTCAGCCTCCTCTCAGTCGGCCGCAACCTTCTACGATCACCAGCCGCTGCTGCAATTGATCTTTACTTTAGTTGTCGACCGTCACTACTGCAATCGATCTCCACCCTAGTTGCCGCCACTGCAATCACGATCTGCACCCCCGTCGCTCAATCGCTATCTCCACCCTAGCCCCTGGTGCGATCGCAATCTTGATTGTAATGTTGGCATTGGCGTTCGCGTTTTTGCACATACGCCATCGCGAGCGAAAATGAGAGATAGAGAGATAGAGAGATGAGGTTAGGGCTTTGATGGTGATAGGCGATGACGATGGTGTGTGGTTGGGGATGGGTTAAGTTGGCGATGTGGTGGAGAAAGGACAGAAGAAGAGAGATCGCCGGAAGGAAGGTTAGAGCGAGAGAGAGAGAGAGAGAGAGAGAGAGAGAGAGAGAGAGAGATATGGCTGAGCTATGATGGTTGAAAAATGACTCGGACCAGAATTAATTGCAACAATTCCAAACAATTAAAACTAACAATCTAAATCATCTAGCATGTACGAAAGTGATTTAGATTGTTACTTCAAAATCAATAAATCGACACAACTGATTTTTATGTGAAAAAATAACAATTGGAGCACCTCTAATTGTGATTAAAAAACCATGGGTGAAACGTCACTAATCAATCCACTATGAAAGAAAGAAAGAATACAAATTTACCAAACAAATTACCCAAACTCTATCAATTTGTCTTCAACAATCTGTATCTCTTTCACTACCGCCTTCGTCTCAGAATTGATCAGCTTGATGTCGAATCCACAACATCCATATCGAATCAACGACCACGCATAGCTTCGAACTCCTTCGAATGCTCCACGCTTGAATCTCTGGAATCCACAAAAGAGAAACTTCTCTTATATTCATAAAATCAAACCGACAACCCTTTGATTTAACTCTCTTGATCCATGAATAAACTCACAAAGAAATCAAAGGAAATTTAGCAAATAGCCTTTAGAAGAAAACCCTAAAATCTAAAAAGATGATCTGGAAGTCGTACCTTAGATTTGGAACAAACTATAGATTTATAGCAGTCAGATACGTGATCCTCGCTCGAGCGCGGAAATGGCCGCCACTTGAGCAGTGTCACTTAATCGCGTGTTCCTAACAAGGGTCTACGCTCAAGCACAAGAAAGTTCGCTCGAGCGTAAAAACACAACTTTTAGTACTTTTACAGAAAAGCCAAACTCTTGAGAGTGTGAGCTTGCCGCTCGAGCGCAACTTTTCCCGCTCGAGCGAGAAGACCAAAAAACAAGGAGAAATAACAACTTGGCTAAACAAAGTTTGATCGCAGAATTGGCAACAAGTAGGGACCTAACAATCTCCCCCTTTGTCAATTCTCAGACAAAACCTTCCTGACAAACACACACTCTAGACACAATACCTAACAAAAACAAACGCTACAAAGGAAACAAGCCTAACTAGCTAGGAACACCATGAACAAGCCACATATTAAACCAAAAACCAAAACACTGGAAATAAGATATTAAACACAAGCAGATAGAGATAGAGATAAGATAATATATATCAAAGCAATAAATCGATATCAATATCCATCAAGTTAGCATCCCATAAAAACATACTTTCCCAATATTCAACACGCATCCATCAACAAAAAGAAACTAGGCTGCGTGTGTGGCATGAGTAAGGGCATGTGCAAGTCTCCAAAACCCCAAAAACCAAAACCCTTCCCCTTTTTGTCCAGGGGACACAAGCTAACAAAAAAAAAAAAAAAAAACAAGAAATAGAAAGAAATAAGAAAGAAATTGTCCAATAATATCACTGAGAATGAGGAGAATGGGACTGCAGCTAGATGAGAAAAATAATCTCCGTAAGCTGAATGGTAGTCTGATCAGCAGTCTGCTCAAGATGCCTGTGTTGGCCATCAAAAGCATCTAGGTAGTGATCAAACCTTTGGGTCATGGACTACTTAAACTGGCGAAGCTAGCCACGAATTGTCTGTGGACGGACATCATAGTCTTCGACACCAGCGGCCGCAACATCTATCTCAGCCTCCTCAGTAAGAAGTTCTTCATCACCTACAGTAAAAGTACCCGCCCCAGACGACTCCCCCTTAACATGAGCTCGACTCTAAGAAACGGATTTCTTAGTGAAAAGTTTGATAGGAGTGGAAAACTCGTCCTCATTTAAGACCGAAACCTCAAGTTTAGAAAGGAGGCGGTTGATAAGACAACCATAGCCTAACTGCTTGTTCCCAATGACAACTATCATCTTTCAGAGGATAAGAATGGAAAGATTGACTGGTAACTGGCGATCTATACAGTAAAGGGCACAGCCTTGGTCTTTGTTAATTTTAGAGCTGTGGGTGGTGACAATGATATTGGCACAAACAATAAGGTTAAGCAACTGAAACCGGGGAAGGACTTCATTCTATTTGATTAGGGCGCCCGCAATCCAGGTTTTGGGTGTACCACACAACTCAGTGGCCACCAGGTTGAAGTCACAAGTGGGGCGGACAAAGAAAGAGAAGTGAGAGTTGACAACCGGGCCAATGCCTAGGAGAGAACGAATGAGGTCCGGGTTGACGGTGATTCCCTTAGATCTAACCCAGGTTTTAAAGAAAGGACCGACATCAATGACCCCTTCAATGTTGTAGTAAAACTCTCAAACCTAATCCAAATTTTGGTGCCCAGAGAAAGAGAGAACTAGGTCACCTCCTAATGGTTGAAACACAGGTCGTATAGGGATCGACTCAAAAGTATTAGGCTGCACATTTCGCTCTAGATGGACTATATAAGAGTTGTAGGCTTCTCAAAAGGTTTTGGCTTGTTTGGCGGAGGGGAAACAGTCAGGATTATAAAGGGGATGGTTCTCCGTAGACTTTTGGCATTTAGAGGTTGACACGGCTAAACCTAAAGACATAACCAAAATTGACAAGACAAAATCACCCCCTCAAAACCAAAGCAAAGACCCAAAACCATTAGGAGCAGAAAAACATTAGTAACAAATCCCAAATAGTCAAAATCCAAAGAAGCAAAAGCATTAGTAAACAAGTACCAACTATCCAAACATTAGGAATATAGTGCAATCTCAAGGATTCCAACAAAGGCAGACAGTCATTCAACTCCCAAAATACATATAATAGACAGATAAGCACCAATGAATCACCCTATAAATTCTAGATAGTAAAACAGAAACAACCAGAAGAAAGAAAGAAAACAAGAGCAGCCCCAAAAAAAAAAAAAAAGTTGTAGATAGTGAAGGCATACAGTACGAATGAGGCCATGGTCCCAATACACTAAAAGCTGAGAAACCCTAGTTGCCAACAAAGAAGAAATAAGAGAAAGAAAAAAAATAAAAACAAACTCACAGAAACCCTAATTTAGGTGCAAGAACAAAACAGAACAAAACAAAACAAAACAAATGAGAGAGAGAGAGAGAGAGAGAATAGAGTGACAAAATAAATAAATAAAAATGAAGAGATAAGTGATGACAATTACCAAATCTGGAGAGGGATTCCTTGATAGAGGAAGAGAACACACAAATCGAAGGCAAGCCAAGCCGTAATTGGAAAATCCTAGGAGAGAGAGAGAGAGACAGTCGCGAAATTTGGGGGGGAAATGGTACTGAAAGGACAGGGTGAAGTTTTTATACCAGGGCTCATTGCTCGAGCGTGAGAATCAATGCTCAAGCAGACTCACTTACGCACGTTTCTCCACTCGAGCCAAGAATGTTGCGCTTTAGCACTAAAAGCATGCTCCCAGTATCTCAAACACTTTGCAAAAATACTAGATGAGTGAAATCACCGCTCGAGCTCAAAGGTTGATGCTCGAGTGGGGAAGAAAAAAAAACAAGTTCAAAATTCACCCAGTTGAGCATTTAAAAACAACTCACATTGTCAAGTGGGACGTGAAACAAGAGGGGATTAGCACAAAGAAAAAAGTGACGCTAAGATGAGATAATCTATATACCATGAAGCCCACAATCTCGCAAATTTGACAATATGAAGCACAATATCATGAGCAGAATAGGTAAACAAGGATCAATGATCATAAGTAACTTATGAATGCACAACTCAAAGACAAACATGAGCCCTCACATAGTGAGTGTGTGTGTGTGCAATTCTGAAGAGTCCACAATTGCTAGAGTTAATCGTGGGGGTCATCGGATGGCTGGACGTCTGACAAAAGAATCTAAACATCACAGAGAAAAGTCAAACCACCGGGAAACAATGGGGTATTTGTTGAGTAAAAGCGGAGGCTTCCCCTCAATCAATGAGTTCCTTTTTTTTTTCATTTTCTTTTTTTCTTTTTGAATTGGCTTGCTTAGGGGCGCTCATGGGCCGCTTTCACGCTCAAGAGGATGGAGACCAAACTAGAAAAGCATGGAAATAATAGGATGGCCTGGTTGGTACCTCTATGGTATCCTTTTCCTAATGCTTGGATTTTAAAGAAATGAGGGAGAAACCGTGGAGGTGAAAACAGATGGTGGGTAATTAAGAGACTTAACATCACCCAAGGTTTGCCAGTATAGGTCAAT